ATTCAAGAAGTCTTTTTTATCTTTATGGTATTCTCTATCTCGTATAGATCATAGCAAAATAGAATTAATCTCAATCAACGTCACACTTAATTTTCTCTAGCTCCATATCTGGCGATTTCATAACTGATGCCAATCTTTCTGAGCCAGAATTTCTTTATAATTCGTATTCAATAGTCCACTGAGTCTAAAAGCGATGGTAGAAGATGAATGGCTTCAAATTTGTAGCATATCGTAGTATGTTAAGATTTCCACAAATATCATGTTTGCCTTTCTTTCCCAGATGGCCCTTATACAATGTGAAACTCAGGGCGAACAAGCCTATCAGCAGATTGTGAGTCAAAAACTTATTGGTCTGCATCTACCAACACCACGGACAGCCGTCGCTCTCCTTAGAGACCTGATGCTTGACCTTCGTCGTATAAGAGAAGAAATGCAGGTGAGGAAATACTGCATTACTGTATCTGCATATGTACTAGAAAAGTTTGGATTTCTGGACCGAGTCCGTCTAACTGTCCCCTCTTTATTGAAATAGACGAAATTCCATGGCAGAAATGCATAACCTTATTCATTTTTATTGTCCTGCTATTTTTCCAAGTTCTTGCAGAATTTTGGACTCATTCATGTTTTGACGGCTACATCTTGTCTTTACTGCGCAGTTATTATCCCAAAGTCCCTCATTTATTCAATAGCATATCTTTCTTTGGCTCTGCCTATCTAGGAAGCAGAGTATTCTTGCTTATCTCCTATAATCGAATCAATTGCTTATTTTTAGGTGTTCTCAGGTCTTGCTTGAATTGTTTTTTATACTTTATGTATCATTTATTTAGTTATTTAAAACTATAATTTATTATAAAGAAGGCATCGGATTATTTTTCTGCCCTGTAAGATAACCTTCCATAATGTTTATATCCTGAAAATAAACTGACCTTATTTTTTTATGATACAACACAATTGTACAAGTTCATAGTATTTTGATGATCCCCCTAGGAACAGGCACGCAGAGTTAAAGGTTACTTGTAATGTCTTATATATTATTATTGCAATGTAATTAATGTGGTCACTTCTTATTAATTCAACACGACGCCATCATATACAAAATCAACGGATATATCTACTATACAGAAGAGAAATACTTAGAAGCATATCATCAGGTTTAAATTGCTTTTACTGGATGGTGCAAATCTATTAAATGCCTGACTTTACTTCTCTTTCAACTAAACTTATAAGCTACCAAGAGCTTTCAAATACTATAAAATGCCATTAGCCAGTCGATTACGAGAGGATAAGTCCAAGGTTGAATCAAAGAAAGTCAAAAAGATGTTTGCAAATCCCAATTATTAGCAATCGGCCGAAAATCAAGTGCATATCAAAAGAAGCCACTCTAAATCCGAACTAATCCAAGCTAGTTTATAACGCAATACATTTGAGCATATCAAAATTAATATAGACTACTTCTAATATAATATTTTAATCTCACATTTAATCTCACATTACAAGTTGGTCTTATTTTATTCGCAAAAAACCTTATGCCTTGCTTTCAAACCTCCTAAATATATTCAGGTATGTATGGCCCCGTTGGCGATGAGTTCTGGCCAAGTAAGCCGAATGGGCCAGGTCGTGAATGCTTTGAGACGCGCCTCTGCCCAGCTTTCAATCGGTGCTGGGACCAGTCTTGCTGGTGGTGGCAGTAGCAACCTCGGTGGCGGGGCTGGTGGCGGCAATTTTTCTAGAAGTGGGCAGCATGACACAGCAGCAGCCGT